TGATACGTAGAAAAAAAAAAAAAAAAAAAAAAAAGAGAACCTGAGTTCACATTAAGATGGCTAGTAAATACGGTAAAAGTCTATCAGTTTTCCTGTTTTTATTTGTGAAGACTGCCAGCTGAAATCCAGGATATTGTTGTAATATTGTTGTATGGCAGAGATGCGTGTTTTTCTCTTTCACTTAGAAACACCTACAGCATATTAGCAAGACTGGCTAAAAAAGGCTTAGGGCATCAAGCAGGTATGTGTTTTACATATTTGACTCCAGTATTCAGGAGAAAAAAAAAACAAAAACAAACACTGTATTCTTTACAAATAAATAAGATTGCAATTGAGACTCTACTAAAACTTTCTTCTGAAATTTTGGTTGGCTGCTAAACCATACTAAGAATAACTAGGAGGGTTTTAGGTGAACAAAAATAATGATCTGAATTAAAGTGACTAGGGTTCAGTATTTAATTTTAATTTAATTTAAGTTTGCAACAGTACAAATTATAAGAGAAATTTTCTGATGCCTTTGAAAGTATCTCCAGAAGCAGGTGAATTCCAGATATGTTTCTTGTCTAATAAATGACCAGCATCACATTCCAGAGCATTTCTAGGTTTTTTTAGAGTTCCTTTTCCAGTCCTACCCACTGTAACCCTGCTCACTTACAAAATTCTGTCGAATTGTAGTATCAGTGAGATGACCATGAGCTAAAAATTAATCTGATTGCAGTAAAGCAAATTAACTTCAATAATTCACAGCAACATGCAGACTGACCTGTCCAGTAATAGGTTAGGTGCAAATAAAAGCTTTCCTGGATGTTCCATGGAGCGCCAGACTAAGCCAATCATCAGTATCTCTAACCAGGCACATTCCAGTAGGTGGACCTGATCATGGAGTGTTAAATCCACAAATCCTGAAAGAATAAATAGGAGACAGTAAAAACACTCCAGCTTTGTAAGTGGAACAACATTATTCAGAGAATCAGGTTTAAAAGTGCATTGCAGCTGGACAACTGGAAAGAAAAAGCAAGCCAACAGATATTTATTTCTCTTTACATTTTGGGCTCAGTTAGAGCAGGGCAAGAGCCAGGCGAGCACCTCTATCCCCACGCTTGGTGCTGGTGGCCTGGGAGGCCGGGCACACACTGCAGAAAGGTGCAGCCGTCTGCTCCAGTGCCATGCTGCCTGGGACATCATGGAGGGAAAATGGAAAAATGCCTCTTATAAAATGAAATGATAGCTCTAATCAGCTAACTCCAGACCACTTTTCCTGGTGGAATGTTGTTTTACAGACTCGTGAACAATTCACCATACTGCAAGTGCTGTATCTGTGTGGAGGAGGGCCCAACGCTGCATTTCAAATAAACTGGGAAGCAAATGATGATCGCTGCACAATCAGAATTCACTGGTAAACCACATGCTTATATTTCTATTGGACTATAGCACCTGGAGGAAAGAGGTGACCTGTCTTTCTTACTCTGTATTTAAACAACACAAGAAACAATGAATGCAAAGCAAAGAGGTTGCTTATAGCGACACTAAAATATGTATATGAAAGAAAAATTATTAAGGTAGATAAAAAAGCATGATGACAGTGGTCACTCCTGTGTTCATTTCATGGAACAGACTGTATTATTCTCTATTTGAGAGTCTCATTTTTCATGAACATTACTTTCAATCCAAAGATACAAGTGAAGGGGAGACTGCATACAATTTATTAGATCCTAGCATAATTTATTTTTTAAAATTAGCATGAACTTGCTTAAATGAAATGTGTAGAAGTTCCCTTAAAACAGATCTTATTTATCTTTTACTCAGTGTTATGAGTGAAACACATTTCATATGTCATTTCATCACATGCCATAATTTTTTTTTCAATTGTAATTGATTCATGTTAGTCTTCACAATACAAATTACAGGGTGAACTACTTTACTAGCCCATCAAATCACAATGATTTTTGTTCTGTGTTGTGTCCACACTAGAGGTATATACTGAGTCAATTTCAAGGAACATAGCTGACATACTCTCAAGTAACATCTTGAGAAAAAGAAAATAAGAGGCACACATTTTTAAGTTAAATGTTGTGCTATGAAATATATCTTTCAAATAACCAAGAGGAAGACAAGGAACAAAATATAGTTCACAATAACCTAGAAAATACTGTTATGTTCTGCAAAACAGCTGTTGATATAATTACTTTTAATGAAAAAATCTGAAAGAGCTAATCAGTTCATTCATAAAGACTCATTCAAAAAAGCAAACAGCTTTGACACGTCTGAACTATAACTCATCTGTCAGTCATTAGGAGTGAATTTAGACAGTTGCAGTACCTGTTATTTGTATGAAAATGATAACTATTGAGGAGGTGGGGGGAAGTTGTGTTTTCCTGTATTTTTCTGTTACTACCAAATGCAAAAATTAATTTCAGACTTCACAGACTGATGGAACCACATTTGCCTGAGTCACAAAACAGCCTGAAACAACAGAAATGAAACTTCAAAGAGCAACATTCTTAAGAGCATTGACTATGGCCCTCAAGAATGAAACGCAGAAAAAACTGCTGCCTACATACAGAGAACAAACAATAAACACCATGTTTACCATTAAGTATTGCTTCAGTACAACACCGCATAATAATATCATGTTTTTATCTATGCTTGAACAGTACCACAGCAATCCAGGAGCACAGGTCCCTGTGTGGTGTCTGAAGTTTGCAATCAGTGTTTTACAAGTCAGTCATATTGACATGATTTCCCGTGGCTGCACACTATTCTGCAGTAGATTGCTTTGATTATTGTATGAAAACTGAGCTTGCTACAACTGTGGCAACCCACTTTCCTGCAAAAATCTGCTTATTCTACAATATTCTCAATGCCAAAATACTTTGCATTGTTCTCCACACTGTCTTGGTCTCTATTTTTACTGCACCTATTCTCAAACCCCTTTTAAGCCCTATCTTTTTATTAGCTCTATTTTTCCCCATCCCCACATATGAAATTTTAGATTGCGCTGAAGCTAAGTAATCTGCACAAAAACTAAAGAAAGAAAGAAATGCTAATAAATTACCTTACTAGTATCATAGTGGAGGGTTATTTTATTAGCCTGCTCTGAGAATAGAAATATACTGCCCAACAGTATTAACATCTTTCAAAGTACCTGAAAGTGAATACTTTGCATTAAAAAATCCTAAATGATTGGCCAACAATATTATTGCGGTCTGGAATATTAACTCATTTCGGTGACGCTAAAGAATTTTCAAAAAACTGGGATGAAAAAGAAAACTGATTGTGAGTCCATAGTTTAAAGCATTAAATGATCTGTCCGCCTGACACCTACTTTGGGTTCTGTAACAAAACATCACAAACCTTGATTAATGCAGGATTAGAAGTCTGTAATATAATAATACACATCAGCTGTAACTCATAAAATTCTTATCAAATTACTTTGATGGCTTTTTAGGTGACACTGTAAGTTTAGTTGATAAAAATAATAGTTTGATGAAACAGGCTTTACAAGACATCTGATTTTGTAAAAACATACAACAGATTAACTGAGTTAAAAAAGTTGAAATGATGCATCTCAGTACGTAATGGCAAAAGGGTAATGAACTGAACTGATCTGAAGCATTTCTAACGGAACGCTACATAGTTTACTTCTTTACCCTAGACAATTTTTTAATGATGACATGGAAAAAACAGAAATCACGATTCAGATGTCATGATGGCATGTGGGAAATAATGGAAAAAGCAGGTTGATAATGTAAGTAACCTAAATCACTCACTGGCTTCATCATAAAAAGTATAGACAAAGGTTTAAAACCAAGAATATTAAGCGTATATACAAGATGGAAACAGTAGCGGCTACAAAGAGGACTTGGAAATGATGGAGACAAAATCAGTTTGAGCTTCTAGGGAGAGCTACATCTAATATAGGCAATGAACTTTATAAAAAGCCAGGGAAAATCTGAGGGAGTAAGGAAGTTAAATTACCTCTCTGTTACGTGAATCTGGTAACCATTTCTCAAGCAGGAGGAGAAGTTGGAGAGAATGAGAGAAATGTCAAAATCAAGCATTGAAAAACATGCCCTCTAGTGAGGAATAAGAGGAATTTCGTTACTCTTTGTGAAGCTGAATAGACTAAAGGGGTTAAAGGACTGCAATGGGCAAATAACTAAAGAAAAAGAGAATGGCATTACAGAAGGTAATGGCATAACATACAGAAGCCCATGTTGGAAGCTAAACCTGCTCCAAGTCAGGCTACAAAAGAGGGGCCACTGTTAACACTAAAAGCAGTTATTATCCAAGCAACATATTAAATTTCCATGAATTTGCTATCATCAGGAACATTAATCAAGATTTAATTATTATTTTTAAGACATACTCTTTTCAAGCAAGCTAATTCAAAATAATGTTACAGAAGGTTAAATTAAACGATGAATAAATCATTAGTCGCTTCATCACTCAGAGCACACTGCACTTTAATGTCACTGAAATTATGTGTGGATGTGCACTGCATTCTCAAATATCAGGTTTGTTTTAATGCTGGCAAGTTTTGAAAGAAAAAGTATTTTTTAATTCCAAATTTTTTGTTACTGTGCTTTAAGGAAAACTGTTGATAAATTAATTAATTGCAGCTTATGGATATAAGCTACATCTGATTCCATACACCAGACTGACCAACTGCATGATCTTATGAGACATATCAAAATTCTTGTGTGGCCAAAACCTACAAGACCTAGACTGCCTTTAAGCCATTCATATATCTTATGCCTGGCAGGAGAAAGACACAGAATAAAAGCCATAGCTGGACCACATCTTTCCCATATACAGATAAATTAACAGGTTTTTGAGTGACTGCAAACACAGAACACAATAATTGTTCACAAACTCTTGTATACTCATGGAAATCTGAAATTCTGAAAAGCCAGAAAGGTCTTCTGAGCACTCAGCTAAGAGTAGGGGGCAAGTAAATTTTGTGTTATGTGTAGAACACAGAATGGTAATGTTCAAACTAAACTGATTATCCTTCCTAATATAAAGTGGTAGTATGTGCCGCATCAGTGACACTATGATACAAAACTCTCTTTTCCAGATGATAAGACACCGTGAAGCAGCTGTGGGTCCATGGACGAAAAGCTATAAAAAGCCCTATTTTGGCAAGCATGACTCTCTAGAGGTGACATTAGACTTGGGAAACCAAAAACTGTATGACCCTATCATCCTAATAAAGGAAGGCAGCAAGCATCTACAACAGGTATGAGGAAATCTCTTCGTAAACTGGGAGTTTGGGCAGTTGCCCAAAGGCAAGGGTTGCCATGAAAGAGCACAAGGACTGCTGGAAGCAGTATTAGTTAAGACATATACCCCTGCCAACAACAGAGAAGTGGTTGATGCACGAAATTGTTTGGTCGCAGTAAAGAACATAAAGCTCAGATGGTTTTCATTTATTGCTGCTGTAACATACATTGTGAATCCTGCAGTCCTCAGAAATAACCACCACAAACATATATATATATATA